ACCAATCACCAGTACTTCTGTTTTTTCTGTGTTTAACATTAGAATATTGCACCGAATATCTAACAGACAATCTTCTAACCGAGATAGGAGTGATGTATCATCATGGTTAACATTTATATATAACTGTGTATCATCTGCATAACAATGAAACCCAACACCATGTTTTCTAATAATGTTACCAAGCGGTAACAAGGTGCCCAAGGTGCTCTGGATTGTTTGTGTGTAATATGAGAAGGACGTTTGTAATGGTTTGGCTCTGTGGGTTACAATTCAGATTGTCACTGCTTCAAATCCCATGGTCAGCAGAGTAATGTCACCTTTGGCAAAAGTGTCTCCTAACTGTAAATATAAATAATTGTTTTAAATTTCTTTTTCCCCTTTATTTGTTTAGCTCTCCTATGATGCATAGTGTGATCGGGTGAACTATGAGTGTGATAATGTGACTCCTGCAATTTGAAGAGTAACACTGCTGATTTATCATTGTAGATGTAATTTCTTTGTGTTGTATTTTGTATACACGTTTTTGGCATTATGTGCAATTTGGCAGTAACTGTGTATATAACAGGCTTTCAGTGTTTGTTCCCACTACCATCTTATTCCTGTCCAGCTGTACTCTGCACTTGATTTGGTCAGGGCTGTCAACTTTTCTTTTGAATATATACACAATGTTAAAGTCTTAACTGTATCTGTTAAATGTTTATCTGATACTCTCATTTGTTCATGGATTATTGTATTAATAAACATAAATATCAGCTTCCATCCTTTTCGTTTAACTGAGTGGTCCAGCTTCCAGACACATTTTTGGGGGTGGTGCCTGAGCACCTGCCCATTTGGCAATAGCTTTAAAGGTATTGAGTGCCCCTTTCAACCTTTGATCACCTGCCCCTCAAAAATTCTTTGCACAGCCATGCCTACTTGGGTCCCTTCTCTTGAAGTCTCACCCCTTTACTTTCCGGGTTTTCTTACCCCTTTAAAAAATCATCAGCTTATTTTAATGTATTTGACTGCTTTACAGTATGTGGGAAATGTTAATTGACAATTAATATAGCTTATTGAATATTACCCCAAAGTACCATAGCTACAGCTGCAGGCCTCATCATGCTAGCATAGGTACAGTGTTCAAAATAATAGCAATCTGACATCACTAACCTGATCAATCATTGTTTTTATGGCAAATAAGTTACTAGTAGGTATAGTAGAGTAATGGAAAACCAAGAGACCCAACAGTCATGACATGCATGCTGCTGATTCTGGGTAATTGAATCATAAATTGAAAGGGGTGTGTTCAAAATAATAGCAGTGTGAAGTTCAGTTAGTGAGGTTATTCATTCTGTGAAAAATCAGGTGTCAATTATGGACCTTATTTAAGTAAGGAAGGCAGCAAATGTTGTACATGCTGGTTATAGTGCATTTCTCTCTGAAATTCTGAGTAAAACGGGTCGTTCCAGACATTGTTCAGAATAACAACGTACTTTGATTAAAAAGTTGACTGGAAAGGGGAAAACAGAAGTGCAGAAAATGATAGGCTGCTCAGCTAAAATGATCGCAAATGCTTTAAAATGGCAGCCAAAACCTAAAAGACGTGGAAGAAAACGAAAAACTACCATTCAAATGTATCGAAGAATAGCCAAAATGGCAAAGACTCCAGGAAGATCAAAGAAAGTCTAAAGATACCTGTGAGTACAGTTATAATCAGATGACGTCTATGTGAAGCCAAGCTATCTGCAAAAAGCCCCCACAAAATCCCATTGTAGAAAAAAGGATGTGCTGAAGAGGTTACCATTTGCCAAAGAACACATTGACTGGCCTAAAGAGAAACGGCGCAACATTTTGTGGACTGATGAAAGCAAGATTGTTCTTTTTGGGTCTAGTGGCTGCAGACTGTTTGTCAAATGACCACCAAACACTGAATTCAAGCCACAGTACACTGTGAAGACAGTGAAGCATGGTGGCACAAGCATCATGATATGCGGATGTTTCTAATACTACGGTGGCGGGCCTATTTATCGCATACCAGGGATCAGAGTTTGAATACCTCAAAATACTTGAAAAGGTCATGTTGCCTTGTGCTGAAGTGGAAATGCCCTTGAAATGGGTGTTTCAACAAGACAACGACCCCAAATACACCAGTAAACGAGCAACATCTTGGTTCCAGACCAACGAGATTGACTTTATGGAGTGGCCAGCCCAATCCCCAGACCTTAATTCAATTTTTTCAATTCAATTTTATTTATATAGCGCATTATCACAACATTACATTGTCTCAATGCGCTTTACATTTCTGCCTCGTAAGGACCCCCCATTGAGTAAGCCAAAGGCAACGGTGGCAAGGAAAAACTCCCTAAGAGGAAGAAAC